AGGGGGCCATCCTCATGGGGCCCCTGCTTTGCTGATCTCTATTGTACCCCTTCACCTTGGTGGTTCAAGGAAATAAGTAAGGTGAAGTCCTTGGTGTTGCTCTTTGAGACTTTCCTTGCCCTTCAGTGGAAAGATATGGATGTTCAGGTAGATGGTTTGGGGAAGATGGGAAAGGTAGAGGGTCCCAAGGTAAGGAGGGATTCTGCTTCCTGTCACCTGGCTCCCACGGATATTGAGCTGGGAGAGCACTGGTACTTGTCCCTGTGGGTCACCAGCCAAGTCACCTCAGGGTGCCAGTAGTTGTGGATCAGCAGTGGCTGAGACAATTCCCTGAACATAGGAGACAATAAAACGAATTCCAGGGTCACTTCCACCTCTCACTGGTCAGCAAGGAAAGCCCCTGTGAGAAAGCACCCAAGGGCCCTACACCAGGCACGCTCTCCACCTGTGGAAATTCCATGCTGTAGCCTTCATCCTCGGGCCACTTTCTCTTCTCATCGCCTCTCTTTTCCATTTCACAGCTAATACGTGTGATCAAGCGATGAACAGCAAATAAACACGAGCAAGCAACTTTCAGAAAGGTAAGGGGAGCCATCGACAACTAAAGCATATTTAGTTCATTTCTAAATTAAATAGAAGTACCTCTTTATCCACTCCGTGTTAGTGAAATTCAGTTCAAGTGGATAATTAAAAGTAGCCTTTAAATCTCCAAGCATGAAAATGAGGTGTCTCTCTTGGTCTCCGGTTTCTACACGGTTCAGCCAAGATTTGCTAAGAAATCAGATGCAACGGGGACCGACGCCCTCCCCCTTCTCCGCGGGTCTCCGTCTGAGCTCTGCCGGACTCATTAGTTGGGCTTCAGTGGCCTCTCCAAGGGTTTCTCCGAGGATGGGACAGGTCGGGCTGGTTGTTGCCAGCTTCTTGTAAGCATTCCCAGGTAGGAGCAAATCTTCCTGCCAGGTGCTTGGAACAGGAGGAACTTCTAGGGAGGAGTTCATGTTGGGTCTAGTTTCCATCGCTAATTAAAATCAGTAGGTAATGGGTTAGTAATTTGTTGTTTCCCTTTATCATGTTGCTGCCTTTTGAGGACCTGGGGGACGAGGAGGTTATGTCTTTATGGCTCCTGTCTGATTGGGGTGGAGGGGCCCGACGATGGTCTTCAGAGCCATCTGCCCCCGGTTCCCTTTCTCGGATCTAATATTCTGGGCAACAGGGTTCAGAGGACCTCTCACCATGGGCCCCCGAGCCATGCGAAAGCAAGCTTCTCTTGAGTTGAAGTAGAAGAGGAATTGCAGCTCATTGAGCAATATTCCTCTTCCCAGGGGAAAATTCATAATTCGTTACCATCAACCCGCTTGCCAGTCAGTTTACAGGGAGTGGGGCCAGGTGGGAGGAAAATGCTGACCCTTCTTGTTTAAGAACACGCCAGGTGGAAAGTCTGAGCCCTGGGCTTGGCGTCAGGAGACCTGAGCTGGCATCTGGGCACCGCCACGCGAATCTGGGAAAGTCATTCCAAGTTCTGAAACTCAATTTTTTTATCTGTAAAATCGGAGCAGTTATAGCTCCTGTTGCCTACTTCAGAGAGAGGGCTGATGGAGTGAGGAAAATTAAAAGGAAGTATCGTTGGTGAGCCCAGTGGGCATGACTCAGTGGCTGAGTGTTGACCTATGAACCAGGAGATTATGTTTCGATTCCCGGTCAGGGCATGTGCCTGGGTTGTGGGCTCGATCCCCGGTGTGGGGCGTGCAGGAGGCTGTCGATCAGTGGTTCTCTCTCATCATTGATGTTTCTCTCTCTCTCTCTTTCTCTCCCTTCCTCTCTGAAATCAATAAAATATATTTTATTTTTTTAAAAAGTATCGTTGGTGAAAGGATGATGGAAATCATAAAGTGCAAAACACAGTGGGATGTGATCATTGCTCAAGGACCGAGAAGGCAGAGCGTGTTATAACTCATAAAACTTGGTCCAAATAAAAGACACAACCTCCCCAACTCACTCCCTGATATATCCTCCCGTCGGAAGACCTTACAATCCTAGCAGGCTTTTGCTAGCATTGCTGAGCATTGAGTCATGAGAATCATAGATTTGCTCTTGATGGAACCCTTCTGTCCCTACCTGCTGAGGGAAGACAGCCTTATCCACTTCATGGACAATCTCCTGGTGGCTTGTGGGGTGGCTTCCTGTGGACCTGGCCTTTTCTAGAGCATGTCCATCTCACTCTTTAGTGTCCTGCAGTAGGGGCTTCAAGTACACCAGTGTCACGGCATGCGCGGCTTCCCATGGCCAGTTTGCCAGAAGCCCGTGGCCCCAGCAATGCTGCTGGGGAAGTGGAGGCAGATCCCGACAGGCCGGCGTGCGGGCAGGTCCGGCACCAGCCACAGGGAAGAACCTCGGGCCGGCCGCCAAGTTTCATCCAGGAGGGAACATCTCCCCTGGAGTTTATAACCCTGAAGGAGGGAGTCAGTAATGAAAAGCTGCACCACGCCCTTAACACCACAACATTACTCATGAGCACCTTGCTGCTAATTAACAGCGGTAAATGCCACAGTTATTTCATGCCGCTCACCACTCGCAGGCAGAAACCCGAGACACCCCGGTGGGACGGAGGGGGGCGTTTGCCCCCGCAGGTTCCCGAGGTCCCGCGGAGACCCAAGCTCCAGCCGTTCCATGGGTCTCTCATGGAGGAGCCAAACGAAGCCTGGTTCTGCTGCCCACTCTCTTGCGCCAGGCGTAGGGTACATGGCCTTGACTTCTCTGGAAAGTTCAAGTTGGGACCTGCTGATTTTTGAACACTCACTCCAGCAAGTGCTTATTTGATATAAACAAGTCTCCAATCGCCTGTGAGCCTCCCAGCTTCCTGAGAGGCCTCCGGAATGATGGGGTAGCTCGCGCCCAGTGTTGACATGTGGTCTCCCTCATTGCCCAGAACTCGGAAGGTCTGACTCAGGGAGCATTTTCCGACTCTGCCACAACTCGGTTTTCCCATGTGGACACGTCCCCGTTGGGTGCTCCAATTTGACATGGCAGGTGGCAACCTTTCTTAAAATTTTTTTAAATACGAAAAACAACATCGATGGAGGACTTCCTCCTGCCGGATATGGAAGAGACGAAGATGAATAGGACAGGGTCCTGGCCTTCAGGAGCTCGCGGTCACGCAGGTTGGATAGAGGGCACACGTTCACCCGCAGCGTTGCATCGGACACGCAGTGATGATGGAGGTTGAGGGTGCTCTGGTGATCTATGGGGAAAGCAGTCATTTGGAGGGGGTGCGAGAGATGAAATAAAAATAAGTTTTTGAAGACTGAATAGGAGTTTTCAAGGAAGGGAAGTCATGCCATTCCAGGGAGAGAGGCCTCCAAGGGCGAAGGTATCAGAGAGCACAGCATGTTCCATTCCGTGGGAGCAAGTAGAGGCTACTTGCTTTTCCCAGATGGGATTTTTCTCGTGGGCTTGTCTGGTTGTCTGAGTCTCGCTTCCCTGTAGAACGTGTACTCAGGTTGGTCTGTACACATGCTAGCGTGTTCATGCTGACATGCTGTGCATCCTTGAAACGTTCTTGTATCACAGTGCGACGGTACTGGGCTTCTTTCCTCTTTTATTTCTTCCTTCTCTCCACCCCCAAATATGGGGCTCCATCTTCACCCAGCCCTTACAATCCCCATTCAGCTCAGAGCCATTGCCTCTGGAGGTAATGAGTTCGAATTCACCTGACCCCCCCCTTTTTAGCTGGTGTGTGGGGGTGGGTTGCAGAAGGAAGAGTGTGAGGCTCATTGCTTTTACTCCAGCCCCCACTTCCCTCCCCAGACAATTGGCTAGGCCTTCCAGGGGCTCTTTCTTCTATTCTGTGGGTCTCCAATGACAACCTCGACTGCCTGTCTCACCTCCATTCTCTGGGCGTGTGTCCTCGGTGAGGGCTACATGACAAGCTTGATGGAGGGGAGGGCTCCCGGCATAAGCCCTATGGGACTCCACATTCCATGACGTTTCCTGATTCATTCATTCACTCATTCATGCCTTCACCCACCCATCCGGCTCCAGGTGAAGTGCTAGGTGCTGGGGTTGCCACCCTGGACGAGGCAAATGGCACCTGCCTCCGTGACCCTTTCACTCCTGTGGTGGCCACCAGTCGGGCTCAGAGGTGGGGACCTGGGCTCCCTAGTATTCAGCCACCTTCCCAGAAGGGCACCACACACACTGGGAAAACCGCGTGTCTCTTTTGTGGGGTTGAGCTGCCCCCTTTGACCTGGAGCAGCCCCAGGTTCCAGGGAAGGTCAAGGCCGCCTCTGAACTGACCCAGAGATTGTGAGGAGCAGGGCTGCGGAGAAGGTGCCCAGAGGGTGTCTGATGCCTTGGCTCCAACTGGCTTTCGAGTGACTATTTTGTGTAGGCAAGACGTCTGGAAATCCAGCCAGCATCTGGTTTGTCCTTGGAGAACATGCATTTCATGGGTCTGACCTTGAACCCCTTCGCCCACTGGCCTGGAAATTGTGGGTGCCTTTGTCTAATACTCGTTTTTGGAAAGGGGCACGTGAAGTGAACAGCCAGCCTTCTAGCAGCCTGGCTGACTCAGGCATGGGCTTGGGGTTCAGCCTGCGTAGGTATCTGCCACCAGCCCCTGTCCCTAAGGTTCTCAGACCCTGCGACCTCTCCCCTCTCCTTGGGGCCGGGGCTTCTGTCTGGGTCGCACAGGGCCACACCCCCAGTGCCTGGAAGAGGGCCTGCGACGTAGTGAGTGCTCCATAAATTTTTGTGGGATGAGTGGTTGAATGTTCATTTCGACGCAGACACAACCACCGAGCTGCCAACACCTTGTGCAAAGGGAGGCGGGTGCTTGTTCTCTCTCGGCTTAATAACAGTCTGCAGGGCCTGCTGTCTTTTATATGCCTGCTTAGCTCACCGTGAAGACCCAATAAATATTAATTGATGGCCAAGAAGTTCTGGGGTTTGGCTCCAGCCAGATCCAAGTTCTATTTGGGGTGGGGGTGGGGCGGGGGACAGTTTACAAGAGCAGAGGAATGTAGGGTGTTATGTTGTGAGTCTGGAGACTTTTGTGGACGCCCCCCCCCCCCCCTCCATACCCAAAGCCTGGGAGAAGTGGGTGGGGACAGAAGGGAAGCGCTTAATTATATTCATGGGTTGTATAATTACACTGTCAGGTTCCCACTGGTGGTGGGTTTTAAAGGAGCTTTGAGTAATTTCAAATTTTGAAAGGCTTTGTTTTCCGGGGCTTTGTTTTATTCGCCCTTGATTCATCATCCTTGATCTTTTCCTGGTGCCTTCCAGGGGGAATTATCTCAGGCCCGCCGACGGTACCGAGTTGGGCTCCCCCAATGGACGTGGTGCGCACACATGACAGACGGAGATTTGGGGAGATTATGGAACTTGCCGGTGGTTGGTGGTTTAGCAACAGGACCCAGATACCCCGAATCAAGCCCATGCCCCGCCTCCTGTTTAAGTGCCTTTCATGGTAGGACCTCGCGATGCACTAAAATAGTGGTTCTCACAGTCGTGTCCTCAGACCGGCAGCCTTGGCAACACCTGGGAACTTGCTAGAAGGGCAGATTCGTGGGTCCCACCCCAG